TGGAGAAGCGTCAAGCTCTGAAACTGAGACTGCATTAACATCCTCACCTCCTCTGCCCAGAATAGAGAAAATAGTGCAGATGCTCATTCAGCAGAAGAGTTAAATAAGAGATATGAGATTGGGAGAGAATTTGAAGACAGGAACAGGGGACCGAGACGTACCTTACAAAAAAGTACTGATTAGCAAGTGATACTAATCAAGTACATACAATGATAATACATTATATTACAGCGGTATATATGCAGTTCTCTAAAGTACTTCAAGGAACGCTGTGATATAGGTCTAAAAACATGGTACCACGGTAGCACAGCAGCACAACCCTTTGATAGAAATTCACTAAATTTTATTTGTTGTTTATTTATGCATTTATAAATTTTATTAGCTTTTTTATAGTTATTAGTATACAATTACTACTAGTCTATAAATCCCTAAATGGCCTAGGAACTCAATACAGTCCAGATTACTGAATACTGTACAAACCTAACAGATCACTCAGATCATTAGGATCAAGTAAATGAGAAACTCCAAAAGTTCAATCAAAGCAGGGTGAATCCGCCTTTAGCTACTACACCTCCTGCTGCTGGAATCAGCTTCCAGAAATGATCAGATGTGCTCCAACATTAGGCACATTTAAATCAAGACTTAAAACACATCTGTTTAGCCGTGCCTTTACTGAATGAGCACTTTGTTTTGTCTGACAGTTCACAGTTCACACTATGTCTTTCTTTTTCATTCTTTTATAACCTGTTTTAACACATTTGAATCAGTTTTAATCATTTTAATATATGTCTATAACTTAATTATTTGGCCTTATAAATATATATCTAAATCTATCAAAGACAGATACTTAAGTACTGCATGAATGATCATTGTACTTTGAAGTTGAGTGTAAAGTTATAGGTAAATTTTCCCTTCTTTTTTATTATTTTTTTTTAATTTAATTTCAATACATATTTATTTTAAGGAATATTAAGAAAAGTTAAAACAAACTAAGTTTATTTATTAAATAAATAAATAAATAAAAAGACAAAAGTCAACAGACTTCCTAAACTTTAAATTAAAATAAAAAAATTAGAAAAATAGCTCAATGCTTTTGAGTAGAAGGTTAATATTGCTCAAATGGAAGGACACATTTCCTCCAACCTTTAAGCCAGGGTAGTCCAAACTCGGTCCTAGAGGAGCGGTGAACTGCAGTGTTTAGTTCCAACCCCAATCAGACACACCTGGGCTAGCTAATCAAGCTGCGGTCACACTAGAGTTTGTGTGTGCGAAATTCTGTAGTACGGCGCTGTGAAAAGATGCGGGATTAAACAAAATGATTGGACATTTAAAAAAGCGAGTGATTGGTCCATGTTTTAAATTTCTGTCCAGAGACGTCATGTTTGATCTTCGATTGGTCTCACACAATCATGTGATGCAATTTCGTTGGTTAGAGTTCACCAAGCTTGAACTTTCCAAGGCAGCGAACTGCGAAACTTGTCGCATGAACTTGTATATCCAGTCTGATGCATTCCCGTGCGTATGAACAGAAGACTATGGGAAGAAAAGTCCGGTGTGGCCGCAGCTTTACCAGGCTTTTTAGAATCATCCTTGCAGGTGTGTTGAGGCAAGTTGGAGCTAAAATCTGCAGGACACCGGCCCTCCAGGACCAAGTTTGGACAACCCTGCTTTAAGCAATGGCTAACAGAACTTTTACACCACTTGACCTAAGAAAAAATACATTATACTGTTAAAAGTTGTACTGATATGTTTTTCTTAATTGATTTCTCATCACATAAAGAAGATAGACCCTTCAGTTATTTTAGAACAGTAGAATTTTTTTATTTAATTAATTAATTTATTAGTATTTTATTTTTATAATATTAATATATTTTTATAAAACCAAAATGTATATGTGTGAGACAGGTTTTGTTTGTCTGTTGTCTAAAAAAAAGAAAAGCTATTTGTGCTGCATGTTTCATGTTTACATGTTCAATAAAACACCTTTGAGTAAAAAAAAAATAGCTCAAACTATGATTAAGAATCCAAGGAAAAGCAATCCATAAATGCATATGTATGTTTCTTCAAAATTCCAAAAGACATTAACCATCATTACAAATAGAAGAACTCATCCATTCACTGCAGTTTCTGATCTTCGTGATGAATTCTTTAACAGTAGTGAATAAAACAAGCAAACGCAGCACTTTCCCTCCCGAGTGGAGATACAGAAATACAGCAAAAAAAAAAAAAAAAAAACGCTGCAAGAGGAAAGTGAATGAATGAGAATAACTGGGAATAGAGACCATGGGAGCAGGTGAGAGAAAGATACAGAGAAACAGGCTGAAAAACAGAGGCCAGCAGAATCAGTCAAGAGAAACTGAGCATAGAAAAGCCTGAAGATTAATCCTTGGAGAGGGAAGAGGCAGGGCTCTGAAACAGCCCAGATAGATGAGAGTGTGTTTGTGTGTGTTTATGTGTGTACGAAGTCTCCTGAACCAGCAGTTCTGGTACTGCAGAACCCAGTGGTCTGTGACAGAAGAGAAACGACAACACAAAACCAGAGAGAGAGCGAGAGAAAAAGAGAGAGAGAGACAGAGAGAGAAAGAGAGAAACAGACAGACCAAAACAAAGAGATGCAAACAAAGAGCGAGAAAAGTGCTTCATTACAATTCACACAGCATCACACAAACCTACCATACTGCATCAAAAACTGAACAATTATAGAAACACAACTTCGCCGAAAGCTTCATGTAGCACTGAAAGCATGTTGTGTTTTAGCATATGGTTATATGTTTATTAAATATTAGGTAATTATATGAAAGTAGCTTAGTATTAGAAAATTACTAATTTAAAAGCAGGTCACTTGGTATTTTAAAGTTGCCTAATAATATGTTGAAAACTTACAATGGGTTTAAATACATCAAATATTGGAAAACAGTGTGATTTTCTCAGAATATGTACTCAATATTATAATCATTTTGCAATGATTTCGATAAGGTTCGTATAAATCAATTCAATGCTGTAAACTTCAAGTCTGTAAACCCCTCCCTCCAATAAGCTAGGTCTGCTCGGATTAGTCAGCTGGTCAAGTCTGTTTTGATATGTCTTTGTGTATCTATTCTGTGTCTGAAATAAGTGTGCCTGGTCTGAAATCAAGCACTCGTGTTTCATGCAAATAAGTAACTTTGATTATGTTGACTAACACCGGAAGCAAGCAAACGATTCAAATCTATAACGATTCATTAAGGTGATTCAGAGTTGACTCTTTCTTTTGGAGGATGATAACTATATTTATCATACACCTTTTGATAAATGACTCTGCAGACTGTTTCCACTGAAAACCTCTATGAACTGCCCTTTAAGCACTGCTAATAAGTCATCAAAACATTGGCTGAGTAACAAAATCCACCACTACCATAACTTTAAAGTAAAATTTGGGGGGATGACTGTTGGGTAGTATCAGGCCATCGGTGGGCTTCTGTCAGGCTAGTTTGTTTGGTGTGCTCCACACGTGGCTTGCCCACTTTTGCCCGATTCAGCATTTAGAACTGGCATTGGACATCAGTGAAAGAAAGTACTTTGATAGGCTGTTCAGCCATGAATCAGAGCGTAAGAACAAAAATTAAAGCAGCGAGCCAAAAGGGAATACAAAGAAGTCTGTCATTTCACCTTGATTTTTAAAAAATTGCAAACAATTTGGATTATTAGGTTATTAGACATATCTGCACAAGAACCCCTCTGTGTTAAGCAAGCATTACTGTAAAAATTACTACATAAACACTGCTTTGTGTTGTATGTGTGCAGCACTAGATCCAGTTTCCCTTTGTTTAATGACAATACAGACTACTGCCACCTACAGGTATGGAGAGAGACATGTAGACGTAGAACATACATTCTAGTTTTAGTCGGCTGGCATCTGTTTGGTGTGTTCACACACAACATGTGAGGCGACAAGTCAGCCAGTTCTTTGATGTTGAGTGTCCCAGACTTTAGGGAATTACTGTTAGAGCTAATACATTAATACTAATAGTGTTCACATTATTATAATTAATCAGTGAGGCTTTCTATTTGTAGACTATTAGCATCATTTCCCAATGGGAAGATAAGAATGACAGTATAAACCGCACTCTCTTCATGTAAACAAATAGAAGTCGTAAATGATGTCGGACATTAGGGAAAAATTAGGGAAAAAACTGACATTGCAATAATTTGTTTTTCTGCGTTACATATTGCGATATTAATATAATTTCATAAGATGATTTAAATAAACCTATAAGGAACACATTCATAATTTTACATTGTGATCATTTTTTCAGTGAGTGTTCATTATAAAAGTATATTAATGATAATAAATTACAGTCATATATGAACGTAATAAAACAAATATACAAATGAAATATGGTGCAAATATGATTTTCTGGAAAGTCAAACAGTATTGACTTCAAATGTAAAATAACAATGTAATCAAATGTAAAATAGCACTGCATAGTCTTTATTGCGATCAAAACACAATTCACCTTTGTTAAAGCTACAAATTGTATAACTTCTTGTGCACAAATAGTTTAAATTAGCTTGAAATGTATTAGTCACATGACTTAAAAATCTATTTGTTTACTGTAGTAGGATTAAACTTGGTTATTTTTATTGCTGTTAAACTATTTTTTGGGTAATTATAGTCACAACTTAAATTTACAGATTCTGCGTGATGAATATTGCATATTCGCAAATTGCAATAATGATGCCGAAACAATATATTGTGCAGCCCTACCGTACATCCCCCTCATAATGACTACAGACCAAAACTTTGCTACAAATGGCATAGCCATCATCCTTCCAAAAATGACAGTAACCAGGTTGAGATACCCTAGCTTTACTTTTCTAAAGCTTTTTTTTCTTATGTTTTAAACCAAAAGTGCACACAACACACACAACTCATGCAAACTCACAGACAGGGTCTGCACTCACAAACATGCGCACAAACACACACTATGCAAATATATGAAGATACACACTTAAAGTACCTTCACCACTCTGAGCGACTGATGCAGAAGACACTAAACCTGAAGAAACGCAAACAGTGAGTATTCATCAGGTGTAACGACGGCACACACTCAAACACACACAAACAAATGTGTCAATCTGTCTTACCCAGGCTCCGGTTGCTAAGATACTGCCGCAAACTGACATTTCCGAGCTGATTGGGTTGAACCCGTCCCACTTCCAGAGCTACAGCTGTATCATCGCCCTTTAGATCCAGAGAACAGCAGACTGAGTAAACCTTCATAACCAGCACCGACACCTGCAGACACACATAAATCTGGAATTAGAAACCAAAATGATCAAACAATCAACAACTTCCTAAATCTCAAGGTCACTGCTTAGTCAAATTGGTAGTTGATCACTAAAAAGTTGAAAAAAGAGGATTGAAAAGAGGTTATTACAAGGTCTTTCATGGGTTCGTCTATGCTCTGAGAGGCAGCGCTGATGGCGTCAGGTGACTGAGCTTCATCTGCCTCCTGAGCAAGAGTCACAGAGCCGTCTGTGGAAATACGTTCATTCAATGCCTCCTTAAAACCAGAGATCGATACATCATCTGTAACAAAATAATTGTGCATATTATCATGTTTGTTGTATTTAACAGCAAATACAGGGTCATATATAGCAAATCTCTTTCCCCTGACATAAATATAGCCTGTGATTAACGATATATAACGATAAAACTTAAAGATCCCATGAAGTGTTTTGAAATGTGCATTTCTGCTCAATGTATGAAATTATTTCAACTGAAACTTCAACTGAGCTCCTCAGGGAGTGAAAAAAAAAAAACAGCCAATAGCATTTCCTTTTTATCACAGCTCTGACAGCGAATGTGGTTGAGCGAGTAGGGTCTGTCTGTGGACTGCAAGACAGGGGCTTAACATGAAGAATCAAAGCTTGTACAGTAGTAGAGGCGTAGCTTGAAGTTATGGAGATCCACATGTCAAAACTATGTTGTTGGCAGGATGGCCCTGTACCCATCAGGTATGAACATCTACACCTACTCCACACCTAAACCCAACCATAACTGTTATTAACAACCCTAAACCCAAACATGATAGCTATTAGCATCTACTAAATCCAACCATCACAGTTATTAACATGTACTTACCCCAACCATTACAGTTATTAACATACAGCCACGAGTTGAGGATTTCATACTTAGCGTGATCGCCATTGTACTGTTATTTGCAACCACAGGGGGGCAATGCCGAGTAGGCTAACTGTTATGAAAAAACGGATAAAGTCGTTGCACGGTGGAGTTGCTAAATGAATGAATATAACAATATATCAAATGAATAGTTTGTGGATAAATTTGGAGAAAACTCCTGAAAACTTTTGATGACAATGTTCTCTGGTATGTCGTTGTGACATCTTGCATGGTTTAATTGGATCTTGATAACAGCAAGTTATACTTATAACTTACTACAAGTAAGGCCTCTTCATGTTACGCCACTCTCTTGGAGTCCGCAGATACACTTAGGTTGAGCTCAAGCACATCAAATGAAAAGCAAATGAGAAACATCTTGAAGTGATGGGACATCTCAGATACTATAGAACATGTGATTGGCCACAAGATTTGATGAGAAATTGAGTATGTGTAGGCCCACATGGAATCTGCAGGCGCAGATTTCCACAAAATTCCGCAGATTTTTAGCCCATCATTAATTTTGTTTATTTACTTGAGTAAATGTGTGTAAATCTAAATTTATTCAGATTTTACATTTATTTCAGTAATATTATTGACTAATGTGAAAATGTTCATTTGATTTATGTACAATGCAGTTTGTACAGTAATATTTTATTATTGTCTTATATATTTTAATATTATATTTATATGTCTTTTAGTAGATATATTATATGAAAGACTTGCTTTGTTTACCAAATAATCTAATTGGATTTGCATTTTAAACATTAAATAAAAAATATATAATTTTTTTATTTTACATATTAAGGTTTTAGTTGTGATACTCTTAAAATAATTCCGCAAAAATCCGCAGATTTTTACCAAAATTCTCAGTAGAAAAAACAAAAAACGTCCGCAGATTCCGTAAGTACGTGGTGACATCAAAATATAAATTATTCATTTATGCTGCTGAAGTGACAAACTGTAAGTTTTGGATGTTTATCTCATCTAAATGAAAATCTAGTAACAGTTTTGGAGAACATATTTTATAGATATCGTTAAGACTAACATACTGATACTAAGCTTTATTTTAAATTCAAAGGTACGTAAATTAACGCTTTTTTGGTTAAGAACAAAAAAAATTCCTACAGCTCCAGCAAAGGAACAAAAATGACACAAAAAGATTTATGCTGCAATACTGCCACCTTGTGGTGACAAACGTAAAATGAATCCACTGCCTGAGTGAAATGTGTTTGTGCATGTACCTCTGTCCAGCAGGCTGTAGCTGTCACAGTCCTCTAGTAGATAGCTGTCCATGGAGAGATCATCCAAAGACTGTAGTGAAGGACTTTTCTTCATATTCTTATAGGACACTGAGAAACTTGACTGCGACTTGCCCTGCATCAAACGACCACTGCAGAGTACAGGCACAAGAAATAGCAACGGTGAGTTCTAGCACAAGTGGATGAACCTATCTTTGCTAACATAAATAAAAAAAAGAATGAGACCAATACAACAACAACAACAAAAAGAGAGTTTGGGTGCAAGTACGAAACAATTCTTGCAAAATCAAAACACCAATCAGCAATCGAATCGGCAAACCCTGCAGACGTCCACAGTCCTACACACATCACTACAAGGGACAAGCTAGAGTGAAATGATTACAGTCACAACACCACAGTTTTGTCCACAAACATTCACGCATACACAGATGGCCACAGAGTCCTACAGAGGGTGTCTTACATGTTGGATATGGAATATAAGGAGGTAGACCTGCTGTGCGTGGAGGATAAGAGGTCAGAGACCACTGAAAAACTGCCTTTCCTTCAGAAGAGAGAGAGTGAACAAACACACATATGCCCAGAGGTCACATTCAGTCAAACAATACAGTTGTGCATTGTGTTTTACTCTCAAAACCACACAGACATCCTCTTATAACATTTAATGTTATTTATGTGCATGAATTACCTTTATATTTAGTTCTAAAACACAGCAACAAAACCACATTCCTGGAATGAAGACCACTTTAACGCAGTAAAAGGTGTATCTCTAAAATGTGACAATACCCTTGTTATACAAATTCTTAACCTCATGAAAGCTTGAAATCTAATCAACCTGTTGGACACAAAACGGGACACACTACATTCTATATTTTACAGGCTCCGCACCACTTACTTTAAAAACTTGCAACTCCTGTGGCCTTAAAGGGATAAATAAAATTCACTATTACAAAACTGGTTTCAAATCTTTGTTAGTTTCTTTTCTTCTGTTGAACACAAAAGAACGTTTTCTGAAGAAATGGCAATCATTGAATTTTATAGTAGAAAAAAATGCTCTGGAGGCGACAAGGTGGCTCAGGGGTTAGCACTGTCGCCTCACAGCAAGAAGGACACTTGCTTGTGGTGGTTTTGGAGTGTGAACGGAGTTAATGCGAATAATGGGAGATGGAAACATACTGGCCAAATAAACTCGCACGTAGCAAACATTACACCCAAATTACATGAACTAATCAGCTGTCTCTATTAAGCTTGCCTTGTTTACTGTTGGTTGATATGTTACCAATACTACAGTCAGTTGCTCTAACTCTGTCATAAATACTCTCATGTTGCATATTAAGGCAACACGGTGTCACAGTGGGTAGCACGTTCGCCTCACAGCGAGAAGGTTGCTGGTTCGAGCCTCGGCTGGGTCAGTTGGCATTTTTGTGTGGAGTTTGCATGTTCTTCCCCTGTTCGCTTTGATTTCCTCAGGGTGCTCCGGTTTCCCTTACAAGTCCAAAGACATGTGTTATAGGTGAATTGGGTGTGCTAAAATTGACCAAAGTGTATGAGTGTGTGCGTGTGAATGAGTGTGTGTGGATGTTTCCCAGTAATGGGTTGTGGCTGGAAGGGCATCTGCTGCGTAAAACATATACTGGATAAGTTGGCGGTTCATTCCCCTTTGGCGACCCCAGATTATTAATGGGACTAAGCTGAAAAGAAAATGAATGAATGAATGATGCATATTATTACGTGCAATTGTTAAGGGCAGGTATGTCCTGCTCCAGGGGCAGGTTGCACCAGAAGTGCGCAAGTTAAAATGTAGCCTAGTTGTGACTGAAAGGGACACTAAGTTACAACTTACGCACTACTAATAGTTTTTATGTTGCACCACTGAACTTAGTTTAAACGTAACGCTAAATTTCAACTAAAAATTTAAAGCAGCACTCCTCACCCCATGTATAATGCTGGAAAAGAGATGATGATCAGATCTCCCTCTAATCACAGCCTTATTTTCCTTCAGTTTGAGTTTCTTTCAATAAGGGTTTTGTGTTAATTTTATCCATCAATTAAAACGAGAATTTCTTCATGATGGAGTTCTTCTTCCTGTTCTTTTCTCTTTTATGTGTAGGATAAAAAAAAAAAAAGTTTAACGATTTGATAAATTAAAGTGTATTTTTGCGTGCATTAACGACTTGCGATGCAGGTATGTGCATTTTGTTACAGTGACTGACTGTTATGTAATGCACTGTGAAAATGTAATCTGTTGTTTCATTTTCATAGGACAGTTATTTGTAGATGCATTAGTTGCAGAATTTTAAATCAATTTAACAATTTAAATGCTTTTTATTGGGTATTACATCATTCAATGCGACTTTGCAGGACTTTACAAAGAGTTTTCGACCTACTAACTATGGTTTGCCTTAAGAACATGTGGTGCAACTGAAGTAAGAACTAGCTAACTAACTAACTAACTAGCTAACTAGCTTACTAACTAGCTAGTAAGTACTAAGCCTTTAGTGTGGACTTTACCTTCCAGTTTAAGAAATAAATTTCGAATAGCTAGTGCAACCCTACCCAGGAGATAACTAACTTGTTCCAACACAATTTTCTGGAATATTCCAGTAGGTCTGAAGATGTCAATTAGCTGATTGGGCAATGTTTAATTAGTTTTAGGGATAAAATTAGTATTAAGGTGCTGGGATTCTCCAAGAACAGAACTGGGCTGGGTTATATGGGTTATATATTCAAAGTGTATTTACTACTGTGGTCTTGTGTGGCTCATAAACATTCATTTTGCACACTTTAATGAAAGGTACACTTTGGTCAACTGTCCAGCAGTCCATGAAACTCTATGGAGAACACAAAAAGACCTATGGGGCAGGACGAAGTAGCTCTACTGCAAATTTGTAAATAAATAAAATAAAAACCAGGAGGAAGGAATTGGCAGTTGTGTTCTATATGCACAAACAACGCAATACCTGGACATGGACTGAGGCAATCTGGCTCCCTGACTCTTGTCATTCCATTCCCTTGAAGAAGTGTCAGAGATGGGATCTACCACAGCCATTCCACTTTGAGAGGTTTCATTCTGCTGTCCTTTGGCTTCAGATCTGCTAGTATCCCCATCGGGGGATCCTTCCCTCAAGTCCTTCTTCTCCTCGGATGGCACCCTCCCTCCAGAAGCCACGCTACTCCTCTCATCCATAGATGTTTTTCTCAGAGCAGAAGATGAGGAAGGAAGGAGCGGAGATGTGTCGATGGAATTTCTATCTGCACAGAGGAGCTGATCCACATTTCGAGTACCCTCTCCTGCAGCCGAGGGTCTCTCATGTCCCTCGCTCACCTCACTCCCAGCTTCAAGAGTGGCTCTGCTTTCTGAAGGCGAGACATCAGAGTTCAAGGGGCTGGTGCTTAAATCTGGTTGGGGAATAGGCTTTAGGAGAAGAGCAACTTCTGCACTTTTCATAAGCACACCCACACAGGCACTAAAGGGTTGTGTAGGACCCAAGCGCTTGGAGCCGTACTGCTCCAGATCTTGCTGAATAGTGCGCTGCAGAGTTTTCACAGCATGTTGCAGCCTGAGCAGGAACACATACTGCCCGTGGCTCACCTGAGCGCTCAGGTGTTTCTGAACATGCACTAGCACCTGCACATCTACTTCATTTGCTGAGCAAGCAAGGGGAAGAGATGAAGAGGAGTCACTGAATAGGCCATCTAGAGACTGTGGTTTGTGGAGGCCATTGCTTGGTGTGTCGCTGGGAGATGCATTAGTGCTGTAGTACTCTTTAAGAAGCTTCTTCCTCTGCAGACGATTGGCCATCTCTGCTGATTCACTGCGAGGCAACAGTCCTGACCCTACTCTGAGTCGCTCAAGGTGCTGCGTGTATCGGGCAGGGTGGCATACCCAAAGTGTCAGAGGAAAGGAGTCCACACAAGGTGTGGGACGACCTCGGCCACTGCGGGACCCCTCATAGTCCACCCAGAACTGAGAGAAATGCATGGCCCACAGGTCGGTGGCTGCTGGTGTTTTGAGGGCATTGGTGGAGAGAGATGGTGGAGCGAGGCCGCGGTACACATCATGAACGCGCGTGTCCTGTTCATGAGCGTGCCGCTGGAAGACAGAATGGAGCACAGAGAAGGAACTTGGGGCTCGAGGGAAGGTGGAAGAGAGGGAGGTGAAGAAGGGTTGCTCCTGGAAGGCCTGCAAGAGGGCTTCCAGACTTGATCGCGAGCATGCTGAAGAGTGACGCGTGTTAGTGGCTACCATCTCTGAGGTCTGAACTGACACAGAACGGGGCTGGTCAGGTTGAGTTTTCTCGTGGTCTGCAGGGATCACCAGCTACAAACATTAAAACACAAACAGTTTATTATCAAGTTTACATTATTAATATGCAAAAAAGATGCTGAAAGACATATTCAATAGAGTTCCTCAAATCCAGACATGCAGATTTAAGCACTAACTCCAAATAAACCTCTAAGCCATGTGGTATGATATGGTTTAGCATGGCTTGGCTCCAATTGCATTTCAACTGTAGTTTTGTACTGCTTAAAGTAGGAGGGATTATTGCTATAGTTGTGCCACCTTTAATAATGTCATTTGATTTTCATTCTAGGTCGTCCCATCTACTCTTTGGCTATCAACAAGAGGAACATCGAGACCTTATCTATTGATCCTACCATTACAGGTGTCTTTTTTGCAGCGATCTAAAATCAGTTTAGTTTTGGGAACCAACAATGCAGCAGTGGCAGCTTCTGACTATTTAAATATAGCAGGTTTGGTATCTCATGTGATGAATCCAATGACAATCGTAATGGTAGTGATGATTATCTAGAACCAATCGGTGATCAGCAGAGTGTTCATAGGACACATTTTGGTAATGTCATGACTGCTTGGAACCTGATCTGAGGTGGTGCAAAAAAATACCACTTACAAGTACAGTATGCAGAGGAAAAGTTCCCAAAAATTGAGTCATACCAAACTGAACCATGCCATGCCCTGCTGGTGAAAAGTGTCTACAATAACTCAGAAGACACGTTTATCTTTCTCTCTATATTCGAATTTAAGTTACATAGTGTACAACCTCAATTTCTGAACCAAAGTTAATTGCCTTACAATACAAAAACCTAAGCAGCTTGCTAACGCCCTAATGTCTACATCAACAGCTAGGAAAGGGGTTGCATCATAGTCAACATGAGGTACCTTAGATGCACATAATCTGAGAAACAGCTGTCAATCCAAAATTCACAGAAAGTTTACAACCTCAATTAAATGTCTACCTTAAGCATGAGTCCATCCACTTTGATATCTACATGTTCTTCAGGCTTCTGTGAGTCATTGAGTTTGTACAGATCCATGAATTGCTCCAAACTCTGCCGAAGGTCCAGTGCGAACAGATTAAGCCAAACCAGACTTCTCGAGTCAAGCACCAGTTGTAGTGCGTTCAACTGCACATAGAGGTTGGGACAAGGGACTGCAGGGAGAGAGTGTGTTCATTGTCAATTCAGAGAACGCTTGAGTAGAAGCAGAAAAAGCTGAACATTCTGATGGATGGGATCCCTTCTGTTTTACCTGGATAGTCCTTGCCATCTGGGAAGTAGTACTCTGTGAATTCGGCGTGAATAGCCGGCATCTCTTGGGGGAGATAGAGGGATTTCTTATTGCAGGATATCATGGTTTGAGGACTAGAGCGTGGCTGGTCTGCTGAAGACACCTTTAACATAGTCAAATATTTTTACTTTTAAATGGTTTCTCATCAATGCAAATTTCATCATTTACTTAGTAACAGAATGACTAGATCTGGAATACTGGATGACTGATCTAACATACTTTGTTATTTTATATCAAGCCTGGCACCACATTACATCGTATCTGCATGCGAGTCAAGTACACCTAAGAGGACTAAGGGCACTTTTACACCTGTAGATCAATTGGTTTGTTCCGAAACAGGGATTAAATTGTTACATTGTTGCACTTTGTTCTTGGTGTAGTTCGCTTTCACACGGCAAAGTTTCTAAACAGACCAAAACAGCTAAAACAAGTCACGTGCGAGTAAACTCTCCTAACATTGGTCAGAGTCCCGCTCAGCTGTCATGCGTCCTTATTTTAATTTATGACGATAAGCAATAAGACACTATATGCGAAAAGCTGCACTTTAATTTTGAATGGTGAAACCCACAGACATCGTCACCAAATACAAATCAGAGTAAAGATTATTCTTACACAGCCATTGGATACAATTATGCATTATAGGCCTTACATTATAGAAAGAAATAACAGATAAACCCAGACTGCTGTTTGGTAAATTTTCCTAATGGATAAGCAGCTCTTGTTAATAGTTCAGCTTGCTTTCACTTTCGTATTTGACATTAAACGCACATTTACCTACACTACTCATCATTCTCTCTTCATATAGCTGTATGCCTATCCATAATACACTGTGATATAGCCTAGTTCGTTAGATCGTATTGCTTTCTCACAACAATTGATCCGCTCCAGAGTTCGCTTCAATCGAGCAGAGATCACCTCATTCTGGTAATCTCAGACTGATTGTTTTGGTGTGGATCAGAGTGAGATTGCTGGAATAACATATGCACTACTGGGGGAAACATGCCAGGTTCCGAAACAAAAGTCTAGGTGTGAAAGCACCTTTAGACCATAGAATAAAACTCATATGGGCTTACTTTTTTCTTTTTTTATTAAAGCTCGTACTTTAAAACTGATTTCAAATATTTATTAATTTTAAAATATGTCCAGAGTGCCGTTTAAAATACATTTTATATTTAAACATTTAAGTTTTAATAACCAATAACTAATTTCTCTAGTCTTTGCCTTGAAAACAGTACATAATACTTTTCTAGATATATTTCAAGACACTAATATTGAGCTTAAATTGCAATTTAGGGACGTAACCAAGTTTATTAGGTTAACAAGGCAAGTTAGGTTGATTAAGCCAATTTGGCTAAAAATTATGACCTTCATTTTGTTTGTTTTTAATTAAAAATATGCTTTTATTCCAGCCAAAACAAAACAAATAAGACTTTCTTCAGAAGAAAAAATATTATAGGAAATACTGTGAAAATGTCCTTGCTCTGTTAAACATGACATGGACAATATATTTTAACAGAATAACAATTTCACAGGGGGGCTAATAATTTTGCCATTAAGGCCACATGTCCATCGAAGAGTTTTTTTTTTGCACTACAGAAACGCAAACACTGTTAAAGAGTGCCCAGCGCTGACAACAGAAAAAAAAAAGATTTGATAGACACTTGCCCTAACCATATATGTACATTTCCCCCAATACAAACCTGATAGATGCTAAAGTCTGCCATCCGCAGCACTATTGAGCTGGACATAAGTTGGGTTCTCGGTGGAGTAGGGGGTGAGAAGGAAGTGCTGGAGCTGGTGGAGATCTTTCCTGTAGGGAACACACACAAACTCAGACATCACAATCACAGTGGACCATCTGCACAAACCGCAGCCATGTGTTTGTGAGGCACCTCAAACGCACACCAGAGAGGTACCTGTCTCCAGACACCAGCAGCAGTTGGCCGTGGGAGAGAGTGGCCACAAGCCATCAGGGCCTGAGTCCAGCTCTCTAACCAATATCCCTCCACCCTGCGCCTCTAAGACAATGGACTGATGGACTGGGGACACAGAACCCATTACGCACAAAACCTCTCAAACTAGGACAGGTGTAAGCTGCTACCAGGGAACACTTAAATAATGACCAAATGTAAAAAATGCACACTATAGATTTCAAAATTAAAGCCATAATCACAAACAATAGCCATACTGCACTACTGAGCTAAGAAAAAGTAGCACTTCAGCTAAAGGCCCTTTTACAAAGACTCTGCTGCACTCTCAGTGGCCACATGGAAAACTTGTGCTAGCCATGAACACTTCTGCTACCCATAATTGTGTGTCTGAAAGTGCCCTACAGTCTTTGTGAAGAGCCCTTAAAATAAAGTGCCATAAATTCTTGTTATAGAAATAGCGCTTGGAAGGGAGAGATATCCAGATCTATGAATCTATGAATGACAGCAGTCAATCAAATAATCAGTGTCTAGATCACATTTCAACCAAAAATCCACTATAAAACAATAAATCAAATCATATTTTTGTAGTTTATTTGTATTATTTTCATGTCTAATATACATTTTGTGCCTAATTCTTGTGTCCACAAAGCATCTAGAAGTGTTTTATTTCTCATTTCCACAACAGTACTAATGCATTGATCCAAAAACATGACACTAGGTATGTTTCCATCCACAGACACAAATTAAATTTATGGGCAAAACAGGATTATTGCATAAAAGACGTGCAAGTAAGGCAGCGTTTCCATATACGTAGTCAAAGAGAACAAAATCGTCACTTTCTGATTAACGGGCGCCAAATATCAACAGTAAAAACTGAATCTGCTGTGGTAGGAGAAACTGCGTGAATCTTTTCTTTATTTAATGAATAATTTGCACCTCAAAAGACAAATTCCGTGCATGGTAATGTTTGAAGGTGTGAGACGCGGAGCACAGATGCTTTTGATAGTTCTGGAGTTAATTTATAATGTAATAACACTAATACTGATACGGTAAAGGCGTTTTCGAATGACCAAAAAAACATTTGAGATGTTTTACAGTGTGCTCAGCCTGCTGGGAGAGTATATTAAGCTTTTCCTTTTTATGCTGGCTCTCCTCATTTTCCAAAAGAGGCAAAAATCGCCTTCAAAACTTAGTCAAGACTTGCTCCAAGATTATTGGTTTCTAGCAGAGAAACAAACACAGCAGAGTTACATGAACAGCACATGATAAGGAAAATTCAAAGTGTGATAGGAGATGATTCATATCCTCTGAAGCCTTTTTTGTATTGTTGCCCTCTGGAAGAAGGTTTAGAAGCATTAAATGCTCTTCTAATACATATATATATATTCAACCTTTGTTCTTGAGGCAATAACACTTTATAACCTTAAGTTTTACATTTTTAATGTATGGGTCTGTTCTCATAGCTGTTTTTAGTACTATTTCTGAAGTTATTATGAAAGATGGATTGTGTTTTTTAATATTGTTTAATATTATGATTTGTCTCTTTACTGTGTTTGTTGTATCATGATGCTACTGCCCCTAATTTAATCGTCCATGGTGGGATTAAAGAGCCCATATTATGGGTTTTTGAAAATTCCCCTCCATGTAGTGTGTAACACAGCTCTAAGTGAAGTGAAGTATCCAGCTAAGGCTTAAATCTGTAAGAATACAGTGTTTAAAACTGTTGATTCATCTATAAAAGAGTCGAATCATAGTGCTTCAAACGAGTCGCTTTGATACCGACTCATTAGGTGTTTCGCCATGACGTACGAACGAAACAAAGTTTTTCACGTGCACGCGCAAACCCGGGAGATTTCAAACCTGAGGCCCCGCCCTCTGACGCAGTAACCCAGACACACACACACACACACCCACAAACACACGCACACCCACAAACACACGCACACAAACATGCCGGTCGATTGAAGTCACACAGCAGATGGATATATTGAGTCTCTACCCAAAGATGAAACCTCAGCATTATAACCAAGCAGTTGGAAACTTCTGGAAGCTACATGCTACAAAGAATACTTCATCTGAGTTTGTTAAAGGAAGGATCAGTAAAGAGTAACTGATGGACGTCAGGATGGGTTTCTTCCTACATTTCTCAAGTGTAAGTACGTGCGGTTAAAGTTGTTGCCTCGTTTACTCTAGCTTGCAAATGTATTTAGTTGTGATTTGTTACTTGTAACCGCGTGTACTGTATCAGGTTAACTGGATATATTATCTTATCGCGTGCAAAGTCACGTTAAAAACGCGACGCGTGCTGTTTGTTTATGGAGCTCCGTGCTAGAGTTCTGCTCCCGCGATTTATTCGGACATGTATTCCCGCGCCGCAGAAATCTGGCGCGGGGAGAGAGAGAGAGAGAGAGAGCGAGAGAGCGAGAGAGAAAGCGAACGAACGAACGAGCTTTGTGTACTTTGTGCTGTGTGTGTGTTTTTATCCAGACAGCTTGGCTGTCTGGACTGTATACTGGGTGATATTTGGTTGTGTTCTCCGCTCTAGCGGGACCGGGCGCGGCGGGCAGAAAACGGAGCGGGTTCTCAGGCTAAAACCTGGCGGGTGCGGGCTGAAGCGGGAGCGTTGTCATCCGGAGGTGTGTGTGTGTTTTTGTGTGTGTGTGGTATGGCGAGTACACGACTGTCTCCTTCGTTCGGTTATCCGTGGCACTATCCACTGGCCATAGTGTGGCAGCTAAAGTCCACGCCTACACTATCGAGCGTGTATGAACTGTGATTACTTTTTAAATTGCTGATTAGCTATTGGCCATTTCCCTCTCTGACTGAAGGCAGTCGACCAATCGCGACAGACTGTCATCGGTCCAATCAGCGCAGATTAGCTCCGCGCTAAGGAGGGGTTTGGGAACAAATGAATCACTGGACGATTCATACAGGAGTCGCTGGGATAATTAGGTAAAAATAAATGCAGATTATAAGACCATGAAAGTGTTTTTTGACCTTGCATGCATATTAGACTGTTGTTGGAGACCCTTACAACCAAGATATGACCTTATTTCATGTATAATATGGGCTCTTTAATAAAGTTGTTAAAACTAAAAACACTAAAACTGTTACACACATTTCTATCATCACAGGATCTCTTACAACAGAATCCCATGACTTTTTTAGTGCACATACTAGAATTTATTTGATAATAATATAATAATATTTGACTAGATATTTTTCAAGACACTTCTATACAGCTTAAAGTGACATTTAAATTGACTAGGTTAATTAGGTTAACTAGGCAGGTTAGGGTAATTAGGCAAGTTATTGTATAATGATGGTTTGTTCTGAAGACTATCAACAAAAAATATAGCTTAAAGGGGTTAATAATTTCGACAATTTTTTTTTATTTATTAAAAACTGCTTTTATTCTAGCCGAAATAAAACAAATAAGACTTTCGCCAGAAGAAAAAATCTTATCAGACACACCGTGAAAATGTCCTTCCTCTGTTAAACATAATTGGGAAATATTTAAAAAAGAAAATAAATTCAAAGGGAGGCTAATAATTAAATTAATATGGAAAATGAAAAGCAAAAAAAGCTTAATTGTTCTAAAAACACTTCCCTAACTGCAAAATATAAGACTTATGAGTGCACAAAATTGGTTCTTAATTATTTCTTGGATTTTTGGGTCAAATATAATCCAGACATTAGGAAAGGAGTAATGACATTCACCCATTTTTCAGCAACAGTGAGCCAATCGGAGTCTGCTAACAGGCATGCTGTTCTCACCGTGCTGAGGAGAGCCCTGGGACTGTCCGCTGACTGCGTTTTTCAGCATATCGACATTAGACTTAAACTCGTCCAGGAGAGAACGCGCCCAGGTTTCACGAGATTTTGTTGCTTCGCCATAGTGCATCCAATGCAAACAGCCCTCACCTGAGACACAAAAAGATCATCTTTTAATAATCATAACACTTTCCTCTTCAAAAGTATAGTACAAATAATGTATTTAATGTATTACCAGCTTTGTGGAAAGGGTAATAGTCTACGCTGATAGAACTAAAAGACAATTGCATTGCACCACCATCCAATCTCTTATTAATTCCTGCAGATTTCAAAGAAAAGACGTATTTTAGAATGACAACACCAAACGTAAATGTTAACTGTATTATGTGTGAACATGTGGTACCTCTATCCTTGGCATTGGTGTCATCGCAGATATGCAGGTCCAAGTGTGTGATCTGGAGGTGGTGTGACGTCTCACGAACATCATAGGCGGTGAAGAGCCGTGCCATGGAAGCGGTCTGATCTGCCGCGGCTGAAGCCTGCTGCGTGCGCATCTGCTGGGCTGTGGGGGGTGCCGGTGTCACCTGAAAACATCAATCAGCCGTGACTAAAGGTTTGATAATACTAAACATACAGACATCTGAAAGGGAACAATAAAAGATACAACCAGTAGGGAGCAGCAAAGCAGTATTTTAAGAATCGAAAGCATATATTAAAAAAAAGAGGTAGTTGGTGGTGGTGATTGGGGTAGGAGGCAGGGAAGAGTCCTCAAACTCGCACCTGTGTAGTGTCAGGGGCCATGCTCTTCCTTTGCGAAGCGGATTTCTCCATGGATTCACTAAGAGACTTAGCGTACTGCACCATGGCCTTGAGCTGAGAGTCCGTCAGCACCCAGAGCAGGTCATCCAGGATCAGAGTCAGCTTTGATGCAATCACATTACAGTCCTTCATCTGGAAAACACATACGTGTATAGAGCCAAGATGAACATTGTGTTATTTAAATCAATAGAGAAACACATATTTAAAATAGTATATAGTTGGAGGGAAAATTATTAGCCGTCCTGGGAAATGAGTTCTTCTCTAATATTTCCCAAGTGTTGTTTAATGAAGAGAAGTTGTTGTTTTTTTTTCTATAATTTTTTTAAACATAAGATTTTTAAAAACTAATGTATTTTGTCTTTGTCATGATGACAGTACAGAATGTTACTAGTCATTTTTAAAGATATTAGTATTGAGCTTAAAGTGCAATTAAAATGCTGAATTAGGTTAATTAGGGCAACTAGGCAGGTTAAACAAAATGTGTAAAACTAGTAACTAGGAACATAATTGGATAGCAGTGGTTTTTCTGTATCCAATCAAAAATAAATAAATGAATAAATAAATAAATAAATAAATAAATAAATAAATAAATAAATAAATAAATAAATAAATAAAAACCTCTTAAAGGGTTATAATATTTAGTATTTTATTCTAGCTAAACTAAAATAAACAAAACTGTCTTGAGAGGAACAAATAAAATAGGAAATACTGTGAAATTCAATATTAAAAACTGTGTGTACAAATGAAAATAATCTTGCAATTAAATGTGCTTGATGTCTTTTATAAAGAAATGCTTATAGTGAATATCACTTGAATTTTTGTTGGTTTTGCACTATTATTTTCCATTCCTAAAGAGATTCCTAAATATTTAAGAATTTGTTGTGGAGTAACTGTATGTAAAATACATGTTTATAAGGTTTGTAAATGTTTGTTTACATTAGCCAATGTCATATTCATTCTGAATAAAGTTACAAAATATTATTACATACTGAAGATTCTTATGAAAACTGCATTACATTATTAAATCAAATTTTAAATTTTTTTTTGTGTAGATATTTTTTAAAATGTGATTTGTATTTGACTTTAATGAAAGCAAAGTTCAAGTTTTATTTCACTTATTTCTTTCATTTTATTTTTATGTTATTTATTTTTCTACAAATAAAGTAGCCTTTTTTATTTTGAGTCATATTTTTATATATAAATACTTCATATGATTTTTTATTTTCAAACATATAAAGCAATTAATTTAAAACATTGTTTGAAATAAGCCAGATTTTAATGCTTTCTCAGACAACACCGTACAAAAATTGACTAAATCAATGAGTCTGTTTGTGTGTGATGCACAATGCGACTGAAACAAAGCCTTCTTCTAATCATCTGCCAATATTCAGACCACCGACAGAGAAACAAATCCCAGCTGCCTGCAGAGCTCAGAGCCAATCCACAGACAAACAACCACGACAAAAACCCAATGCGTAATGAACATATGTGTGTTTACCCTTCTTTTTAAAGTGACTCTGATCTTCGATTGGTTGGTGATGAGGCGGATTGGGGCACTGACGACCTCATGTTCGGTGTTCTGGATGGCGTCTGCTTCAATCCTGATCATCTGCCAGCTCACTTCCTTAAACGTTAGCAACTAAAGCATATCACAGTGTTACCACAACACATAATACACACCACAGTCCCTTAGTGAAAGTATAGGTATGTAAATAAAGTAACCTCTCCTCGTGTGGGGTCCAGGATTCTTGTGTATCGGAGGTCACCAGTGGTCCAGCTGGTGTTGACGCTGTAAACCTGAAGCTGTGAGAGCTCGAAGGATGCATTAAAGGCTTTGGCGCTGATGCGAATCACTATGGAGTTCACAGAGAGAGAGATGCCCTCCACCACTTTTTCTGCAAAACCATATTCACTGACGAAAGAGAAAGAGATTCCAAATAAATACAAGAGTGACAGAATCAAAGATTCTCGTGATATTTGCTGATCATGATATATGGTATTATCACAGTATTGACACAGGGACCATTCACACATGAACGCATCTTTTCATGATTTTTTTAGGGTTTTTTCACCTTTTCATGGAACAGTAGAGATTTGAGACAGGAATTTGTGAGGAGGAGAGAAGGATCGGCAAAGGACCTCGAGCCAGGAATCGAACTTGGGTCACTGTGAGCATGATGTGCTATATATCAATGCATTAACTACTAGGCTATTGATGCCAACTCAGGAATGTTTTTAAAAGCTTCTTCTTCACCATGTTGCCTTAAAATAGGGGTGCCCAAACTTTTTTTTATAAAAGGCCACAAACTAATCTTGATTGAGGGTGGTGGGCCAAAAGTATTACATTAAAATTGCTGAGCTAATTTACAAATTTATTTATATTTAAAAAAAATTGTTAAATTATATATATATATATATATATATATATATATATATATATATATATATATATATATATATATATATATATATATATATATATATATATATATATATATATATATATAAATATATATATATATACATACATACATACATTTTGTTATGAACTTCCTACAATAAAAACAAACATCCCATTTATACCACAATGTAGTTCAATGCATTGTCTTCTATCAGTCAAGTAACAGTATTTATGTTTTAACTAGGATTGGGCTGATAAACAATATTTTATCGAATCATGATAAAATTTAAGTCAATAACAATAAAAAGCTGTGGACTTTTTTTTACTCTATATTGATCTAAAAGCCAATCACACAGCTGAAATTTGTAATAATAGGAATTTTAAAGGGTGTTGATTTTGACCATCGAGATGTAGAAATTCGAGATGAATCGAATTTAATACATTAGAGCTGTACTAAATTTTCAGCCACTGAAAATTTATAGGCAAATATGTTATGCCATATTATAGGAATATTATATTATAGGAAAAATATGTTATGCCATATAATAGAACATCTAATTTTTGTGGCTTCAGTCATTGTTAGGGTAGTCTTTTATACCTGGAAGCATTAACAACTTTGAAATATATATCGTTATCGTTCAGTATGGAAAATAATTATGGAGATATTGCCTAGTCCTAATTTTATTTACAAATTATGATTAATTTAATTGAAACATTTAATTTCAGTTAGCTTTTTTGTAGCTCAACAATTAAACAAACAAACAAAGAAATGGTTATGTGAAATTAGAACTGAAGATCTCTGTTAAATACAATTGACCAAACCTTTCCCATCAATTCCTATCCTCTTCTAAGATGGGACTAACAATGGCTAACATTGGGCCCTAGTTTGGGCATCTCTGCCTTAAAATAAAACATTAGTCATGAGAACTTGCTACTGTAAACAAAAACGTGCAATGTTTGCTCCGGCTCCATATTACTTTTCATTGGTCCACTGCTTTGGTAGTCACACTAATAAGTGGCACTGCATGTAAACTTTTAAATTTACATAATCTTAAAGATGTCCTTGTGTGAGGTGCTGCAAAAGAAACCATAATGATGGTAACGCAAGTCCATCAAGTGCGTTCACATAGAACAACTAAAGTAGCGCATTGGTTGAAAAAACATTTACTGTGTGAATGGCCCCTTAAGCTGCAGAAATGTGGTTGATTTAACAAGTACATAACATGAAAAAAGTGTTTATTGTGTATACACTTTCAGAAAAAAGAAATGTATTAAAGTGCAATAAATAGGAAACTGCACCTAAAATCTCATTAGTCTCAAAATCCTAAAAGGTCTCATTAGTAAACATTATTAATAGATTAACCAGAGCCTCCAAGATCTCTGAATTGAATGCAAAATCAAGCAAACGTTGCACAATTTTAAGGCATTTGCATTTGTTTTTTAATTGATTGTTTTTTACAAACCCGAAGGACTGATTAGCTGCCATCAACATGGAGAAATAGCTAAAGAATGTTTGTTACAGATATTATGCCAATGTTAATTAAATAAACTGAACTTTCTAAGTTAATAGCTCCATTAAATAAAACGTACAACTTCTGATTTCAATAAGTTTAATAATCTAAAGTTAACTAATGGAGCCTTATTGTTATAAAGATTCAGAATGCTTTCAATCAATATCTCAGGCATGTTGTAGGCCAGAGTCATGTAAATACATTTATGTTCGAAAACAGGTAGTTTACTAAGACTTAAAACATTCAGATCTGTGATGAACACTACTTTACAAATACAACAATCAAGAAAGTTCTTGGCAAGATTTTAAACATTTACATGATTAATAAATATTCACAGAATTTTTAAATGCTCACTTTGAAATGTTCGTTATCAACAAGTTTCATTATTGAAAATCAGCAGGTCTAATGTATTATGACCGTTGTGTGGATGTTTTCCACAACACGTACATAGAAACAATATCTAGTGCAGAAAATAAAAACAAACAAACAAACAAACAAATAAATAAACAAAAATAGAAAAAGAAAAAACTATTTTCCATGGTTCTTCAAAGCTCATTTATTTGTACAGGTTTACCCAGGTTTCTTATGAAAACAGGAAGCAGGCAGAGATATGGATCAAGGCGGATTGAGGACATCAGTAGAAACTGACCTTTGACCCGAGGCTGTTGCTATGGGTGATGGGCCGTTGGGAGGGCGGGGCTCATCACAGGTGCTCATCTCCATGACAACTTTATCCAGAGACTGAAAAATATGATTTATAGCGCCAATAATTAATATGCACAAACTACACCAGCCCTTACTGTAAGGAGAGTCTCGAAGAAGACGAAACCAAAAACAAACCACAACAACACAAAACAAGACCAAATAAAGTACAACAAAACAAAAGCAAATAAAATACAGAAAAACAAAACAAAATAAAATAAAGCTAAACAAAATAACATCAAACAATAGAAAACACAAATAAATTAGGATGAGAAAAGACATAACAAATAACAAGACAAATAAATGAAATGCAAAATAAACTAAATTACAAAAACAACAACAACAACAACAACAGTAATAATAACAATAATAATAATAATAATAATAATAATAATAATAATAATACACATTTAAACAATACATGCATGTACACATATTTATAGATATAAAACAATATTAAAGTCTTATTACCAGAGAGATTGGATGAGTCTTTAGCTTGGTCCATGGTATCTGCATAAAAAGATTAAACAGTAATTACATAAACACATACACACAATCGATTAAATAATTAAATTGCAAACTAACATATTACTTTTTACATATAATACATATAATACAAATCTGTTTATCACGGTGGGGTCATTGAAAATTTCATCTGAAATATGTTAATATAATTAAATTGTGATAATATTTTAGGTGGCCCTTTCTATCTGATTTGATCATATGCCATTTTTGTGTTTGTATTATAATAATTTCTATCTATCTATCTATCTATCTATCTATCTATCTGTCTGTCTGTCTGTCTGTCTGTCTGTCTGTCTGTCTGTCTGTCTGTCTGTCTGTCTGTCTGTCTGTCTGTCTGTCTATCTATCTATCTATCTATCTAATAGTAATTATCATAATCCATGTAAGTAAATCCATAGCATCTCTGAGAGCTCCTTACTAATATAACTTCTCTTACATATATATTATTAGGAATGTGTACAGCATGTCTGTCTGTGTGAAAGTCTGTGTACGTGTGTTCTTTTTTCTAGCGTGCATCAGGGAGCATTCAGAAACACCTGCAGCACAGCCAGAGGGTAAAAACAAAACTCTTGTGTTCCCCTTAAATAGAGTCAGATAGGCACAAGAAACATATGCACTCATCACTCATCTCTGAATGTCAAAGTGACGAGTTAAAAAATATGCGTGTGCTTCAAAAAGCTGCAGCGTAAATATCAGCTGATGAAATACACTGAAGCTCATGTTAAAAGAATTGTTCAGTCAAAAGTTTTCTGGTCCAGTTTTAGCGTCTTATAAAACTCAATACTATAATAAGTGTACAGATTTTCTAACTCGTAAACAGGGCAGAAAAAAAATTGAGAAAATGTTTAGCTATTTTTACACAGAAGTAAAAAAATTTCTGATAAAAAAAGTAAAAAAAAAAAACACACATTTTTTTAAGGTTTATATTATGGCTGGGTGAAACAACAAAAATGCCATTTCAATATTTCTTTTCCATATTAAACAATAACGATATATAGTTCGATATAAATTGTTTATAGGGTCAATGAAATGGCATTTTTGGCCAATACGTTTTTGTTGGCTGAAAATTTGGTACATCTCTAATATCAACTCACTTTTAGATTCCCATTGTTGCACATTTCTGCTGTGTGATTGGCTCTAAGATTAATATAAAAAAGATCAGTAAAAAAGTGCAGAGCTTATCAAATTTAGTAGTAATAGTAGTAGTAAACTTTATTGTCCTTGACAGGAAATTTGTTATGGGCATCGTCATATTGCTGCAGACCTTCACTAAAAAAAACAAGCAATAAAAACAATACAAAATAGAGCAGTTACAAAATTTATAATGCTAATTAAGATAGACTCTTGTTAAATAAACCCCCTGAAACAGGTACAAAGGATTTCTTATAACGGTTTAACCTACACTTTGGGACTCTATATCTCCTACCCTAGGGAAGCAGTACGTAATGTGGAAACAAAAAATAAGTTCACAATCCTTTCCACCTGATTGAGGACACAATTCTCATAAAAAACTTGAGGATTAAAATATTCATCATGCCCAACAATTTTCCATCATATCTTTAAGAGATGCATCGATTTAGATTTACACTGAACAGATAGGTTACCAAACCACACTGTGATACCATATCTAAGAATGCTTTCAAGTATTGCTTTATAAAACATCATCATTTTATTAAGACAAGTTTTATCACGATTCAAAATAACATCGCTTATCGACCCAGCCCTAGTTTATAATGCAAATCCAATTAGATTGTTTTGTAAACAAAGCAAATCTCTCATATAATATATTTAAAAGACAGAAAATATTACTTTAACTGTATTGTAAATAAATAATATAAACATTTGATATTATTCATAATATTACAGGATCTAATATAAAAACTGATTAAATATATATTTACAAACATTTAAATAAGTAAATAAATAGACTCTTTGTATTTGTGCACGGGCAGACTCCATGTAGGTCTACTCATTATAAATACTGACAAGTTTGATTGGCTATAAATCAGCATAATTAACAGTTTATGACAGGGCAGCTGAATGGCGATCAATCCCTACATCCATCATAGATGCCGCTTCTGTAAAATCGGTCAGTACATATCAAAAGATCTGGGTTTATATTCAGCAGAATTGAAAGATCTTTTAAAAATCCCAAATCCCTTAGTTTTAAATATGATTTCCATATGGTTTGACATAAAAAATTAAGTGCCTGCTATCCCTTATCTTGTTTTAATCCAATTTGGAGCAATGAAAATTTAAACCAAGTATGTTAGATGCAGGATTCAAGATATGGGCAGAGAAGGCAATTAGAAAGATAGCAGATTTATATGCTAACAATATTCTAGTGTCATTTCAGGAAATTGTTAGTACATACAATATTCTTGCAAAACATTCCTTTAAGTATTTACAAATAATAGATTTTGTCCTCAAATCACAAAATAATTATCTGGATATTCCATCATTGTCTGTTTTGGAAAAAGTAAAAACAAGTGTTTTAGCGAAGGTTTATTTCTGCATTATACAAGATGCTGGTGTCAGGATCAAAGGAATCTTCAAACAGTAAATTGGAAGCTTGGAGACGAGATCTTAAGAATAATAGGAAGCTCAATCACTAACAATGAACACTCGTCTGAAACTGTTGCAACGTAAGTGGTAAATGAGGATTTACATAATTCCATTTTTTTGCATAAAAATAATGAAAATATTCCAGTTACTTGCTTGAGATGCAGGGACCTTAAAAGAACGCTGCATCTCTGCATATGGGAATGTAAAGGGATACAGAACATCTGGAAAGGTGTGAAGGAAATGATAGAAAAGATTCTTGAGGTTTATATACCAATGTCTCTTTTATTTTTTTATTTCATTCATATCCCAAGGAGATCAAGTTAAAAAAGATGGAGCATATATTTATGAAATAATTCTGACTTCAGCTGTGTGTATTCTGTAAGTGGAACGGCTTATTTCTTTAAATTGGAAAAGTATATGGGCACCAAATACAGGCCGTTGGCTGAAAAAAATGGTAACAAGCGTGACAATGAAAAAAAATAACTTGGATGTTAAGAAATAAATACATAATTTTAGATAGAGTTTGAGGACCTCCTATGTTGTTTTTAAAGGGTGGTGGAGTCGGAACTGTTTTACTAGAAGGTTAGTAAAAGAGGTGAAATTATATTCTGATGTAAAATACTGAGGAGCCTTTTGTTTTGTTTGTGTATTTGTTTGCTTGTTGGTTTTTGTTATATCTGGCACATGGAAATGTGTATGTACATGGTAAAATATGCTAAAAAAGAATTTGAAAAAAAATTGAGGGGAACACTTAAAAATAATGGTCCATTAGTTAACGTACTTACTAAAATGAACAAACAATCAATACATTTATGATGGTATTTATTAATCGTAGTTAATATTACCTAAATTAAATGTTAGTTCATGTTAACCCACAGTGCATTAACTAATGTTAACAAGCACAACTTTAAATTTTAATAATGCATTAGCAAATGTTAAACTACAATTAATAAATGCTTTACAACATTATTCATACTTGGTTAATATAATTTTAAATATATTAACGAATGGACCACTATTCTAAAGTGTTACCAAGATCTGTAATGACAGACAAAACAAATAGTGGCCAAGTAATAAAATCCGTTTGTAATAAAGCTAGATGTGGACCCATCGGGAAGGAGGCGGTAGAGAACCAACCAATGTCTAACACATTTTAATAATGAAAATAAACCTCCTTGACCACTGCCGCACACACATAACAATGACTGGTTCTCTCTCCTCCCTTCTTACCCCTTTTGGAGCTTTTACACTGTAAAAAAATAAAACAGGGGCAACACAGTGGCGCAGTAGGTAGTACTGTCATCTCACAGCAAGGAGGTCGCTGGGTCGCTGGTTCGAACCTCGGCTCAGTTGGCGTTTCTGTGTGGAGTTTGCATGTTCTCCCTGCCTTCGCGTGGGTTTCCTCCGGGGTGCTCCGGTTTCCCCCACAGTCCAAAGACATGCGGTACAGGTGAATTGGGTAGGCTAAATTGTCCATAGTGTATGAGTGTGTGTGTGAATGTGTGAATGTGTGTGTGTGGATGTTTCCCAGAGATGGGTTGCGGCTGGAAGAGCATCCGCTGGGTAAAAACTTGCTGGATAAGTTGGCGGTTCATTCCGCTAAGGCGACCCCGGTTAATAAAGGGATTAAGCCGACAAGAAAATGAATGAATGAATGAAAAATAAAACAGTATATACTCATTAAAAAATTAGGTAACAGATTACAAGCAATATTATTAATTAAATTCAACAAATATGGTTGAGTAACAATTAATTAAATTGGCTTATTTAAAAGAAGCCATTTAAAATGAGTAACTGCAAACAGTACTTATAAAAATAACACATTTTAACCAAAATTATTGATCGCTGTAACAGAAACTGATTGAGAATTTGAAAATGCTCATTTTAATCAAGTTCGATTTAATTAATATTTTCTTTTTTTTTAATTATTCAAAATTAATAGATAAATTATTATAATAAAATAGATTAGATTTTGTTAGACATTAAGTAATTTCAAAACAAAACAAGCCCTAAAAACAGGAAGCTAATTTTATTAAATATAACATGTTAAATTAAATGAAATCTACAAGGCCAAAGAATGACTTTTTTCAGTGTAAGTGGGACTTGAGACCGGTTTGGAAAACAGGTGCATGGTGGCCAGCTCTAATAAAATTTTCAAGCTCAATGACAATTCAAAACTTTCCCAAGAAGACTGAAAAGCAGCTCTCTTTTTAATCTTTTTTTTTTCACATTAACCCTTTTTTCACAAGATATCTGGCGTTTCTATCACTCATTTCTCACGTGATACTTCAATTTGTGCATTAATGCAGGGTGAAGGAAACCCATTTAAATCTCCTGGACAGGAATGGAGAATCAGCCAATAATGCTTGTAGAAAACTGCACCTGACTAATAGATAATTGACTGCGGAATGAAGGATGAGGCCAGAAAGAGAAACAGGGAAGAAAAAGTACAAAGTCAGCCTGTCTTGGTTTGGTTTTATAGTTTGAAAGAATAGCACAAGGGAATGTGTGTTTTGTTTGTTCTTCTAAGTATCAATTATAATGTCAGATATTAATTACTGCAATGTTCTTCACAACTACAGAGTCATTGTTTTGACAGCACGGAGTTGCTCAAAGTAACACTGTGTCTGTGCTCTGAGGTTTGCGTGGTCAGCGTTGTTGGCTCAGATTGGCTGTTGTGATTACAGGGCACGGTCACTGTGTTTCTTCACCACACACACGCCTGTTCTCTGGTTTCCTTTGGCATAAACTAATGATATCAAATACAGTGCAAGGCCTAGATAAGGGTGTTTTCCAATGGTTATATAAAGAAATAATAATAAATGAATAAAAACATGATCATATTATTAAAAAAAAAGAAGAATGTGTATAAAATTGTCAGAAAAATTATAAAGGCATCAAAATAAACTATTACTTTAATTATATTAATTTAATTTATCTATCTAATTATATTTTTAATGACTTAAGTGTTGCTGCAGTATTATTATTGCTATATTTATAAATAATAAAGCAACATGTTCAAGTTATAGGCAATTTGAATAAAAAATATAGCTTTAATTTATGGTCAATAAAAAGGAAATTTTAATAAAAAGAAAAAGTCATAGTCACTTTTAAAATGTACATATTTTAAGCAGATTTCTAATTATATTTTAGCAAAGAACACTTAAAATTTTTTAGTTAGATTTAATATACAAAATCCTAATGTACACTATGGAAAGAATATTGTAAGATTACAATTAAATTGTATTTTGATCATGATAACTTTTAACATTAACATTATTTTTTATTAATTATTATAACATTTGGTTACACTATTTTAAGGAGATGTAGTTACAGCATACTCATTCATTTAACTACTGAGTAATGTTAATTCATTATGTGTACTTACTGTACTATAGGGCTGCACAGTATATCGGTTTAGCACTGCTATCACAATGTGCACATCCGCAATAGTCACATCGCAGGATCTGCAATGTTCAGTTATGATTATTGTTAACCAGGGAACCGTTAAGGACAGGGAAGAATAGTGAAGTTAAAGCAGAGTTTAACCAAAATGGAGTTTTTCATTTGCACATGTTTTTAAGGCCTGACAGCATTCAAAGTGTTCAAGCACAAGAAATTGTACCATTTGTAACTTTAATAAAGAATAATTTAGAAAAATTTATACAGTAAAGACTTTTGCAGTGTTATTTTACTTTTGATTATTCAAATTCTGCAGCTAAATACTATTGGATTCCCAAAAACCATAAAACACTGTTTATTTCACTGTTATTTTTGGCTTTAACTAGTTCATTTTCAACCTTTTTATGAACGATTCACTATCCTACGGAATCAGTACAATTGATCTAAATCACAGGTCTCAAACTCGATTCCTGTAAGGGCTTCTTGGAGGGCAGTTTTGCTCCAACCCTAATTAAACACAACTGATCCAAGTAATCAATGTGTTCAAGAGACTACTAGAGACTATTAAGCAGGTCTGAGTTTAAGGTGTTTGAAACTAAACTATGCAGAGCTGTAGCCCTCCAGGAATTGAGTTTGAGATCATTGATCTAAATGAACAAAAATTTTTTAAAAAGGACTAAGTCATGTGGGGAAATTGTTTATATATTGCAATATTTAGCACAGAAAAACAAAATATCGCAATGTTAGATTTTTCCAATATTGTGCAGCCCTAACTTACTACATGGATGAAGCTAGAATGTGGGTTAGGTTTAGCATTAGTTGTGCATAATTCAATGTAATAACTATAGTAAGTGTATGGAACATTATGTTACCTGTTACAGGAATACTAATATAGTACATTAAAGCAAATGTTGAATAAAACAAATACATTACAAAAACACTTTAGTTTTATTTAGACCACATTATGTACCTTAGGGACTTTTTTTACATTTGTTAAAGATGTTATCAAAAATAATTTATTTTAAAAACTAACTGACAAGTACTAGATCAAATTATTACTAGATTACAAGTGCGAAAATCTTAAATATTAATCAAATATACAACAGTGTCTGACATAACAAACAAATAACTGTCTAGTAACCAAGATTGTACGCATACACTGTGCTTCTGCATTAATTCCCATCTCAGGATAGTTATATTAAGTATATTTGGCTGCAGCCCAAGAGTGCAATTATCATCCCAGCATATCCTTCATTTACAGCATGAGAGGGACTCAAAGTGATGATGTCTTGAACGAGCAGACGTGTCTCTTACCCGGATGGCGGCTTTATTGCAGAAGACTTTATTAATGGCGAGCCAGGTGGGCAGATCCAGCATGTTCTGCAGCACCTCCTCATCCAGCTCCAGGTTGGTAAGCTGGCCCTCCCCTTTCAGAGTGCTCAGATTAATCTTATCTGGAGACAGGTTCTTAGCAAACCTGCAGACAGAGAGAAAAAGAAGGGGGGAAAAGTCAGTACAAATAAAAGTAACACATCATGAAAATGTGACTTTTCAGTGTTTAAACGCTGTGTAATTCTACCAACCTCAAAAAGCACAGAACCAAGAAAAACCCGATAATTTTATATTACTAAACTAAAAAGTGCCATTCAGATTTTACTTATTTACCACAATCCCCATTTACAATGTCGGTGCCTGATAAACACTCCAAATGTTCTAGTTGGATGAAGCAATGAACATGAAAGTCTCAGCAGACTCCTGACATCTGAGCCACTGAGAACATTGCAGCTGAGTATCATTTTTGGAGGAAAAATTCCAAAGACAGTAAACACATTTAGGTATTTTACATTTTCATTGTCAAGGGTCAGTTCAACATGGTTTATGAAGGAGGGGTCAATGCTTTGTGCACAACAAGTATGTCATGTTTTCAAATGGTCTTTATGAATGTGCTTGTTAGCTATATATACTTGAATTGTGTACAGTATATAGCCCAAAAAAGGCTACTGGAAGTGAAAAGACAGGGGACTGTAAAACCCATTCATTTCAATGGCTTGACCAAAGCGCATAGTATCAACTAGCTTAAATGCATTAGTCGGTTTAAATAAGTTTAAAGTTTAAATTGTCTCACAATTCAATTATTAAATTAGTTTTAAATTAGCTCAATATTCCGATCAAGAATCCATTAACATTTCTATGCATGTACTGTACCACTCGAGCTCACTGGAAAAGAAAGTCAAAAAGAGATTAGTGTGTTGTTGTTGTTTTTTTTAAATATATTTTAAGTTATAAGTTCAATTTAAAACATCTTACACAATTAGGCTACATTATAATATTTAAACAAGTACTAAATACTTATTGCAAACCATATTTGGTTTCATTTTTTATCAAGTGCATGCAGAAATTTCAGTTTCGACCCTAAATTTTTTTTATTTTGGTGCATACTGTACCTATTGTTAACATGCTGAACAGCTAATGGTAAAGCTACAATCGCCTCTGACTGCATTCAGCATACCATACCATACCACTCAGTGGAAATGGGTCATTAGTTTTAACCCAAAACGCTCCATGTAAGTGTTATAATTCATAAACACTTTTAATTATGCAAAGTAGTACAGTTTATGTTTTCTGTGAAGATTAGAGAAATATATTAATGTTATCATGTTTGTGTCGCTAATGTGTGATGTTTATTTACAAAGGACTGACAGAGAGATAGCATACTAGTTTAATTAATCAACTTTACTCCACAACAACTACAGTTACACAATTAAATGTATAATGCTAAAACGTCTTGGCGGCATCCTGAAGCTGACAGCTTTTTGTACGTGATTTAAACAGGTTTTAATTCGCCACTGGTCATCTCTGACATTTGAGTGAGATTTGTTGGTTTTATTGTTTCAGTCAAAATAGCATGTACAGGCCCCACCCTCTTCTGTAAAGCAGCAGCTCATTTGCATTTAAAGAGACACACACATAATACAGTTCTTTTTGTACATGCTCAAATAAGAGCAAATAGCTATAATAAATGATTCACAGACACATGCCTTGGGCACCAGTGATTTATTTTACATATTACGAAAAAGGGGATAATAAGTTCCCTTGGTTAAAATAAAATGAGTGGAAAAAACACACACACATACTGCAGTTTTCGATTATGGTTTAATGGCACTTTCTCTAGACTGTAATTACAGCTTTACAAGCAGACAGACCGGTGAGCTGTCCTGCTGCTGCCACCCACCATTAGAACTGCATGTGGGAGATCATATGTGCAAATGCTTACCTTCAATAAACTACTGTTCACTGGTTACATAAGCGTCAGTACACCAACTATACTGTATGTACTAGAAAAAAGTCGTCTTCACAGATGACATAAAAACACAACCACTCATTTTCAATGAAGAGTTGTTTTAAGTTTAGTTTAATGCACAATTAAAAGTTTTTTAACTCATCTAACATAAATACTATTATTAAAACAAGTATTGTAAGTATTGATTTTCAATTATTGCTTGGGCATCAGGATTACATAAAAGACTTAATTTAATTAAATAATTAATAACATAAAATTAGTACTGTATAATATAAAAAACTAATTAATCACTTAAATAATATACAAAAATTCTGTACACAGTTGCAAAATAATACAAAACTAATTTTTCCTTAATACCAAACATAACACAAATCATTTTCAATGAAGAGTTGCACTAAGTTCAAGATGATACTTACATTATAATAAATCAATAATCCAGTAAAACTATAACAAAAATGCATAAAATATTAAACTTTATATTTTGAAAGTGAAAAAAAAAAAGTAGAAAGGTCAACTTTAACATGTCAACTTTGACATGGTCAACTTTGCCACATGTGTACTCATTTCACCCTCAGCAAACCTGGAAACCATTCATCATAAATATTAAACAATGTAGCCTTGGGCTATATAAAGTATTTGCCCATTATTTGTTTTACATGGCAAGCTATTCACTCAGTATTCATCAGTCCACCTCATCATGATCATTAACATGAGTGTAAATGTTCCCAACATTGTGCTCTTTTACCTCAGACAAAAAGGCGGGAAAATGACAACACCAAATTATCAGCCATTAAAACGACTACATTTGCATTTAAAGGTCACAGACAAGCTTCCAATTTCCATCTGCTTACTCATAAAACACAATCCACAACAAAATGAAATGATTTTGGTGGAAAATTTTACCACATAGCCATACTTGAGCTTTGAATCTGCATTGGTTTCAGTGGCCATGACCTTCTATTTCAGCGCTGATTGATTTTTCAGTTAATGTTTAAGAGTGTTCCCGAAAGAGCAATTATCTCCGAATGGCTTGATAACACAACTCATTTGTTATCATCATTTCCTTCAGTTGTTTTAGCACTGCGGGCTAATGACACAAACAGGTCAGGGTGTGGAAAAACTGGTCACCGAAATCCAGGATGTCGTCAAGGTCAATGCTAGTCTGGGTGATGTGTGGTTTTTGTGTGTCATGAATAGCTTGAAGATGTCGAATGGCCTGTTTATTTGACTTTCAGTGCGGTTTCAACACCACATCGAATGACACAAGCTAGCTTAAAAAAATCAGTCCATCGAGAGTCAGAGTCAGCTGTGTAATTAGGTCTCAGACTAGGTGTAATCTGTGTTTGTGAATGACCAGTTAATCCTGTTTCACAACTATTTCATTCTGACAGGATCAAATAAAGTGCTCTGTATAAAAGAGCACAATGCGTTTATTATAAAGACTCATTAAGGAGTGACAATTGCTATTAACCACTTCAAAACATCTCACACTGAGTGTTTAAATGCTGCACTGAGATAAACACTGGCCTGGAAACCTAGAAACAACTGTACTTTCCTTTGTGTAGGTAGAGCGAGAAGAAATAAAGGTGGTTTACAGCTTCTGTGTTTCCAAGGACTGAATGAGGAGGATGAAAGTTTCTAAAGGTCGGAAAGCCATGGCAGTTTCAAAGGAAATGAAACAAAATAACAAAAGGATAAAAAACGTTAAACGAAAAAATTATTTAAATCCATAATAAATGTATTAAATATAAATAAAAAATAATAAACTAGAAAATTTAATTGTGTTAAAATAGTAACTCAATAATAAAAATATAAAAAAAATTAAATTATACATTACAATAATTATTATCAAATAACATATTATTATATTATATAGTACATTAAATGTTTAATTCCATAATGTAATGTAAAATTTTCTGCAATATCGATCCTAAGGTGCGAGTAAAAAAGGTTTTATTTACATTTTTTGTTTTTTAGGACAACAGTATCTCCAGCAGAAACATATCCAAAGATGTCGTTTTAAATTGTAAAAAAAATAAATAAAAAAATATCAGTGTTTTTGAAAAAAATGAAGACAGAAGTCAATAATTAATTTTAATTATTTAGCCTGACTTGTTTACTGTTAATTTGTTTTTAAATGTTTCCCAAGTTAAAATATATTGTGTACAAAGGTGTAAAAAGGTTTTGTTTTGTACCCAGACACTTAAAAATAATATATTTTAAAGCAGTAATTACAATACCGTGATACCGTCAAACCGTGATATTAATATCCAAGGTTATCATACCGTAAGAATCTTATCCCGGCCCATGCCTACACCTAAAGCGCTTCCAAATCATGAGGGGGGTCTCTCCACACCAACACCAGTGTGCAGCATCCACTTGGATGGGTCGATGGCAGCCAAAGGCCAGTGCGCTCACCACACACCAGCTAGGTGGAGTGGAGAGACAGCCAATTCAGTGGATGGGGATGATTAGTAGGCCATGATGGTTAAGAGCTTAAAGGGAAGTTAGCCAGGGCACCGGGGTTCTCTTTATAAGAAGTCCCATGTGATTTTTAATGACCACAGAGAGTCAGGACCTCGGTTTAACATCTCATCCGAAAGATGGCACCCACTGACAGTTTAGTGTTCCCTTCACTATACTGGGGCATTAAGATCACACAGACTGCAGGTTAAGTGCCCCCTGCGTGCCTCACCAACACCATTTCCAACAGCAACCTAGTTTTCCCATGTGGTTGCCCATCCAGGAACTGACCAGACTCAGCCCTGCTTAGCTTCAGTAAGTAACCAGTCTAAAAAAATACAAAAACATCAATGAAAAAAAAAAAGAATGAAAAGAAAAAAAAAAGAATGTAAATAAAAACAAAAACAAAAAAACCTTAACTTAAAAACTTAAATTAACAAAATAAAGATTATTGAAAATAAACAAAACATCTAAATATAGTTTCCCTAAGAAAAGTCTAAATCAAATAAAAAAAAGACTATTAAAGAAACAAATGACTTGCACTTAATCTTAAACTAAAACTTAAATACAAATGTAATTAACCTGAACAAAGACATTTATTGTAAACCAAGATAGACAAACTTAAATCACACAAAATGACCTAAATGAAATTCAAATAGATCAATAAAAATATATATTAAAACTAAAATTAAACAATAAATAAAAGCATGAGT